GAGCTGTAGTTTCAGAAAGAATGAAGTATTTACAAAGTATTTACAAAGTATTTACAAAGTTGTGGTAATTGTCTCTCACTGCGACGACAGAAGCACTCGGTGTCCGACAGTAGATACATGTTTCGTCTTTCACCTCTTCTTACAACTCAACAATTCAGATCAGTCTTAGTCCAGACTAATCACAGTCTAGACTCAGAGTCAGAGAAACTAAATGCTCTGGTTTTGGTCCAATGAGAATTTAGTTTTTGTACGGATCAGAGAATCAAACGGTCGGAACTCAGGACTGAGGCTGTAGACCCAGGACTGAGGCTGTAGACCCAGGACTGAAGCTGTAGACCCAAGACTGAGGCTGTAGATCCAGGACTGAAACTGTAGACCCAGGACTGAGGCTGTAGACCCAGGACTGAGGCTGTAGATCCAGGACTGAGGCTGTAGACCCAGGACTGAGGCTGTAGACCCAGGACTGAAGCTGTAGACCCAAGACTGAGGCTGTAGATCCAGGACTGAAGCTGTAGACCCAGGACTGAGGCTGTAGACCCAGGACTGAGGCTGTAGACCCAGGACTGAAGCTGTAGATCCAAGACTGAGGCTGTAGATCCAGGACTGAAGCTGTAGACCCAGGACTGAGGCTGTAGACCCAGGACTGAAGCTGTAGATCCAAGACTGAGGCTGGAGATCCAGGACTGAGGCTGCAGACCCAGGATTGAGGCCAGTTATCTGCTTGGACACAGTGTTTTAACCTCTGGGGAGAGCGTCAGGATAATATTGGCGGTGTCTGGGAGTAAATGCTTAGTCGACAGGAGATAAAGCTTCTGCAGCTCGTTTGGACGTAAAAATAAAAAATGTGAGATTTCAGACTCTTGTTTATTATTAATGAACAGTTTCCAGAAGAACCTAATCCCTCCTAAGTGAGGCCATGGCCATCGGAGCCTCATCATTTTGGGGGAAAGGTCTGTGTTTATGCGTGTGTGTGCGTTCTTAAGTGTGTGTGTGTCTGTGTGCGTTGGCATTTGGCAACGCACTTATTAAATGAAACCTTCCATCTGGGTCTTAAAGCAGACACACTGTGCTTTTCCCTGCCATAAAATTATAATCTGTGACAATAATGTGAGTCAATGTAGATCCTTAATCTGTGTGTTTTTAAAAGGAGAAAAATATTGTAGTTTTTATCCATGGTCTCTCTCTAGTCTTGCTTTAGTCTTGCTTTAGTCTCTCTCTGGTCTCTCTCTCTCTCTCTCTCTAGCATCTCTCTAGTCTCTCTCTGGTCTCTCTCTAGTCTTGCTTTAGTCTCTCTCTGGTCTCTCTCTAGTCTCTCTCTAGTCTCTCTCTAGCCTCTCTCTAGTCTCTCTCTAGCCTCTCTCTAGTCTCTCTCTAGTCTCTCTCTAGTCCCTCTCTCTAGCCTCTCTCTAGTCTCTCTCTAGTCTCTCTCTAGTCTCTCTCTAGCCTCTCTCTAGTCTCTCTCTAGTCTCTCTCTAGTCCCTCTCTCTAGTCTCTCTCTAGTCTCTCTCTAGTCTCTCTCTAGCCTCTCTCTAGTCTCTCTCTAGTCTCTCTCTAGTCTCTCTCTAGCCTCTCTCTAGTCTCTCTCTAGTCTCTCTCTAGTCCCTCTCTCTAGTCTCTCTCTAGTCTCTCTCTAGTCTCTCTCTAGCCTCTCTCTAGTCTCTCTCTAGTCTCTCTCTAGTCTCTCTCTAGCCTCTCTCTAGCCTCTCTCTAGTCTCTCTCTAGTCTCTCTCTAGTCTCTCTCTAGTCTCTCTCTAGCCTCTCTCTAGTCTCTCTCTTTGGCCTCACTCTAGTCTCTCTCTAGTCTCTCTCTCTCTCTCTTTAGCCTCTCTCTAGTCTCTCTCTAGTCTCTCTCTCTCTCTTTAGCCTCTCTCTAGTCTCTCTCTACAGTCTCTCTCTCTCTCTTTGGCCTCTCTCTAGTCTCTCTCTAGTCTCTCTCTAGTCTCTCTCTAGCCTCTCTCTAGTCTCTCTCTAGTCTCTCTCTAGTCTCTCTCTAGCCTCTCTCTAGTCTCTCTCTAGTCTCTTTCTAGTCTCTTTCTTGTCTCTCTCTCTCTCTACAGTCTCTCTCTAGTCTCTCTCTAGTCTCTCTCTAGTCTCTCTCTCTCTCTTTGGCCTCTCTCTAGTCTCTCTCTAGCCTCTCTCTAGTCTCTCTCTAGTCTCTCTCTAGTCTCTCTCTAGCCTCTCTCTAGTCTCTCTCTAGTCTCTTTCTAGTCTCTTTCTTGTCTCTCTCTCTCTCTCTAGCCTCTCTCTAGTCTCTCTCTAGTCTCTTTCTAGTCTCTTTCTTGTCTCTCTCTCTCTCTCTAGCCTCTCTCTAGTCTCTCTCTAGTCTCTCTCTCTCTCTTTGGCCTCTCTCTAGTCTCTCTCTAGCCTCTCTCTAGTCTCTCTCTCTTTGGCCTCACTCTAGTCTCTCTCTAGTCTCTCTCTAGTCTCTCTCTCTTTGGCCTCACTCTAGTCTCTCTCTAGTCTCTCTCTCTCTCTCTTTAGCCTCTCACTAGTCTCTCTCTAGTCTCTCTCTAGTCTCTCTCACTCTCTTTAGCCTCTCTCTAGTCTCTCTCTACAGTCTCTCTCTAGTCTATCTCTAGTCTCTCTCTAGTCTCTCTCTCTCTCTCTTTAGCCTCTCTCTAGTCTCTCTCTATCCTCTCTAGTCTCTCTCTAGTCTCTCTCTCTCTCTCTTTAGCATCTCTCTAGTCTCTCTCTAGTCTCTCTCTCTCTCTTTAGCCTCTCTCTAGGTCTCTCTCTAGCCTCTCTCTAGCCTCTCTCTAATCTCTCTCTCTCTCTTTAGCCTCTCTCTAGTCTCTCTCTCTCTCTTTAGCCTCTCTCTAGTCTCTCTCTAGTCTCTCTCTCTCTCTTTAGCTCTCTCTAGTCTCTCTCTAGTCTCTCTCTAGTCTCTCTCTAGTCTCTCTCTAGTCTCTCTCTAGCCTCTCTCTAGTCTCTCTCTGGTCTCTCTCTAGTCTCTCTCTGGTCTCTCTCTAGTCTCTCTCTGGTCTCTCTCTCTCTGGTCTCTCTCTGGTCTCTCTCTAGGTCTCTCTCTCTCTCTCTAGTCTCTCTCTAGCTCTCTCTAGTCTCTCTCTCTAGTCTCTCTCTAGTCTCTCTCTAGTCTCTCTCTAGCCTCTCTCTAGTCTCTCTCTAGTCTCTCTCTAGTCTCTCTCTAGTCTCTCTCTGTCTCTCTCTGGTCTCTCTCTAGTCTCTGTCTATCTCTGGTCTCTCTCTGGTCTCTCTCTGTCTCTCTCTGGTCTCTCTCTTGGTCTCTCTCTGGTCTCTCTCTGGTCTCTCTCTCGGTCTCTCTCTGGTCTCTCTCTGGTCTCTCTCTCTGGTCTCTCTCTGGTCTCTCTCTGGTCTCTCTCTGGTCTCTCTCTGGTCTCTCTCTGGTCTCTCTCTGGTCTCTCTCTGGTCTCTCTCTGGTCTCTCTCTGGTCTCTCTCTGGTCTCTCTCTGGTCTCTCTCTCTGGTCTCTCTCTGGTCTCTCTCTGGTCTCTCTCTCTGTCTCTCTCTGGTCTCTCTCTGGTCTCTCTCTGGTCTCTCTCTGGTCTCTCTCTGGTCTCTCTCTGGTCTCTCTCTGGTCTCTCTCTGGTCTCTCTCTGGTCTCTCTCTGGTCTCTCTCTCTCTCTCTGGTCTCTCTCTCTGGTCTCTCTCTGGTCTCTCTCTCTCTCTCTCTGTCTCTCTCTCTGGTCTCTCTCTGAGTCTCTCTCTGGTCTCTCTCTCTCTCTGGTCTCTCTCTGGTCTCTCTCTGGTCTCTCTCTGGTCTCTCTCTGGTCTCTCTCTGGTCTCTCTCTGGTCTCTCTGGTCTCTCTCTCTGGTCTCTCTCTGGTCTCTCTCTGGTCTCTCTCTGGTCTCTCTCTGGTCTCTCTCTGGTCTCTCTCTCTGGTCTCTCTCTGGTCTCTCTCTGGTCTCTCTCTGGTCTCTCTCTGGTCTCTCTCTGGTCTCTCTCAGGTCTCTCTCTCTGGTCTCTCTCTAGGTCTCTCTCTGGTCTCTCTCTGGTCTCTCTCTGGTCTCTCTCTGGTCTCTCTCTGGTCTCTCTCTGGTCTCTCTCTCTGGTCTCTCTCTGGTCTCTCTCTGGTCTCTCTCTCTGGTCTCTCTCTGGTCTCTCTCTGGTCTCTCTCTGGTCTCTCTCTGGTCTCTCTCTGGTCTCTCTCTGGTCTCTCTCTGGTCTCTCTCTGTCTCTCTGGTCTCTCTCTGGTCTCTCTCTCTGGTCCTCTCTCTGGTCTCTCTCTGGTCTCTCTCTGTCTCTCTCTCTGGTCTCTCTCTGGTCTCTCTCTGGTCTCTCTCTCTGGTCTCTCTCTGGTCTCTCTCTGGTCTCTCTCTGGTCTCTCTCTAGTCTCTCTCTGGTCTCTCTTGGTCTCTCTCTGGTCTCTCTCTGGTCTCTCTCTGGTCTCTCTCTGGTCTCTCTCTGGTCACTCTCTGGTCTCTCTGGTCTCTCTCTGGTCTCTCTCTGGTCTCTCTCTGGTCTCTCTCTGGTCTCTCTCTCTGGTCTCTCTCTGGTCTCTCTCTGGTCTCTCTCTGGTCTCTCTCTGGTCTCTCTCTGGTCTCTCTCTGGTCTCTCTCTGGTCTCTCTCTGGTCTCTCTCTGGTCTCTCTCTGGTCTCTCTCTGGTCTCTCTCTGGTCTCTCTCTGGTCTCTCTCTAGTCTCTCTCTGGTCTCTCTCTGGTCTCTCTCTGGTCTCTCTCTGGAACAAATTCAATCTTGCTTATATTGTCATAATCTGTCATAAAATAATGTAAATGGAGTTTCCAGCTTTAGAAAAATGTGACGAGTCGATAGTAATGACAGATGTGGATATTATTGTGATTCTTAACATTTACAGAAAGTATATTTCTTGATTTATTTGATAGGAACACATGTGTCCACAACCAACAAGTGAAACACCACAATAACAGTACTGAACAATACTGAACAGAATTGTTTTAACCTTTTTTGAATGGAACCTAGATCTAATGTTGAGATAATCATAAACTACTAATTATGAATTTGAGAGTTTGTCCACAGTGGTATCGTCCAGAAGGATGCATTACCTGTTTTGTGAACTTCTGACCAGATGGTACGCCTCTGGAAGAAAACACAGTGTGAACAAAAACAGAAACAGAAACAGAAACAGAGGATGTGACGGAGGGGAAGGAGGAAGGCACAGAGGACACAGAGTTCAGGTTAGGAGTCGAGTTCGAGTCAAGGTTAGAGTTAGAGTCAGGGTTATAGCTAGACTTAGAGATAGAGTTAGAGTTATAGCTAGAGCTAGAGTTAGAGTTATAGCTAGAGCTAGAGTTAGAGTTAGAGTTAGAGTTAGACTTAGAGTTAGAGTTATAGCTATAGCTAGAGTTAGAGTTAGCTAGACTTAGAGTTATAGCTATAGCTATCGCTAGAGTTAGAGTTAGAGTTAGACTTAGAGTTAGAGTTATAGCTATAGCTAGAGTTAGCTAGACTTAGAGTTATAGCTATAGCTAGAGATGCTATAGCTAGAGATGGAGTCAGATTTAGAGTTAGTTAGGGTTAGAGTTATAGCTAGACTTAGAGTTATAGCTAGAGTTAGAGTTATAGCTAGAGTTAGAGTTATAGCTATAGCTAGAGATGGAGTCAGAGTTAGAGTTAGTTAGGGTTAGAGTTATAGCTAGACTTAGGGTTATAGCTAGAGCTAGAGTCAGAGTTAGAGTTAGAGTTATAGCTAGACTTAGGGTTATAGCTAGAGCTAGAGTCAGAGTTAGAGTTAGAGTTATAGCTAGAGTTAGAGTTATAGCTAGACTTAGAGTTATAGCTAGAGCTAGAGTCAGAGTTAGAGTTATAGCTAGAGTCAGAGTTAGAGTTATAGCTAGAGTTAGAGTTAGAGTTAGAGCTAGAGTTAGAGTTAGAGTTAGAGCTAGAGTTAGAGTTCGAGCTAGAGTTAGAGTTAGAGTAAGAGTTATAGCTAGAGTCAGAGTTAGAGTTATAGCTAGAGTTAGAGTTATAGCTAGAGTTAGAGTTATAGCTAGAGTTAGAGCTAGAGTTAGAGTTAGAGCTAGAGTTATAGCTAGAGTTAGAGTTATTGCTAGAGTTAGAGTTATTAGAGTTATAGCTAGAGTTAGAGTTATAGCTATAGTTAGAGTTAGAGTTAGAGCTAGAGTTAGAGTTATAGCTAGAGTTAGAGTTAGAGTCAGAGTTAGAGCTAGAGTTAAAGTTAGAGTTAGAGTTAGAGTTAGAGTTAGAGTTAGAGTTAGAGTTATAGCTAGAGTTAGAGTTAGAGCTAGAGTTAGAGTTAGAGTTATAGAGTAGAGTTAGAGCTAGAGTTAGAGTTAGAGCTAGAGTTAGAGTTAGAGTTAGAGTTAGAGTTATAGCTAGAGTTAGAGTTAGAGTTATAGCTAGAGTTAGAGTTAGAGTTATAGCTAGAGTTAGAGTTAGAGTTAGAGCTAGAGTTGAGTTATAGCTAGAGTTAGAGTTAGAGTTATAGCTAGAGTTAGAGTTATAGCTAGAGTTGAGTTATAGCTAGAGTTAGAGTTAGAGTTATAGCTAGAGTTAGAGTTATAGCTAGAGTTAGTCGGAGCTGTACCTTTGAGCCTCTGCTTCCTGTGGATGTACTGACAGGAGACGGTGACCGTGAACATGCACATACAGAGCAGCCCCACGCAGCAGATCAGCACTGTACACAGGTACACGTCTGAAACACAAGCACATAGGTACACGTCTGAAACACAAGCACACAGGTACACGTCTGAAACACAAGCACACAGGTACATGTCTGAAACACAAGCACACAGGTACACATCTGAAATACAAGCACACAGGTACACATCTGAAATACAAGCACACAGGTACACATCTGAAACACAAGCACACAGGTACACGTCTGAAACACAAGCACACAGGTACACATCTGAAATACAAGCACACAGGTACACATCTGAAATACAAGCACACAGGTACACGTCTGAAACACAAGCAAACAGGTACACATCTGAAACACTAGCACACAGGTACACATCTGAAACACAAGCACACAGGTACACATCTGAAATACAAGCACACAGGTACACGTCTGAAACACAAGCACACAGGTACACATCTGAAATACAAGCACACAGGTACACATCTGAAATACAAGCACACAGGTACACATCTGAAATACAAGCACACAGGTACACGTCTGAAACACAAGCACACAGGTACACATCTGAAACACAAGCACACAGGTACACATCTGAAATACAAGCACACAGGTACACGTCTGAAACACAAGCACACAGGTACACGTCTGAAACACAAGCACACAGGTACACGTCTGAAACACAACACACAGGCACACAGCACACGTCTGAAACACAGGCACACAGGTACACGTCTGAAACACAGGCACACAGGTACACGTCTGAAACACAAGTACACGTCTGAAACACAGGTACACATCTGAAACACAGGTACACGTCTGAAACACAGGTACACATCTGAAACACAGGTACACATCTAAAACACAGGTACACGTCTGAAACACAGGTACACGTCTGAAACACAGCACACAGGTTCACGTCTGAAACACAGGTACACGTCTGAAACACAGGTACACATCTGAAACACAGGTACACATCTGAAACACAGGTACACATCTGAAACACAGGTACACGTCTGAAACACAAGCACACAGGTACACGTTCTGACACAAAAGCACACAGGTACACATCTGAAACACAAGTACACAGGTACACGTCTGAAACACAAGTACACAGGTACACGTCTGAAACACAAGCACACAGGTACACGTCTGAAACACAAGCACACAGGTACACAGGTACACATCTGAAACACAAGTACACAGGTACACGTCTGAAACACAGGTACACGTCTGACACACAAGCACACAGGTACACGTCTGAAACACAAGCACACAGGTACACAGGTACACATCTGAAACACAAGCACACAGGTACACATCTGAAACACAGGTACACGTCTGACACACAAGCACACAGGTACACGTCTGAAACACAAGCACACAGGTTCACGTCTGACACAAAAGCACACAGGTACACATCTGAAACACAAGTACACAGGTACACGTCTGAAACACAAGTACACAGGTACAGTTCTGACACACAAGCACACAGGTACACGTCTGAAACACAAGCACACAGGTACACGTCTGAAACACAAGTACACAGGTACACGTCTGAAACACAAGCACACAGGTACACGTCTGAAACACAAGCACACAGGTACACATCTGAAATACAAGCACACAGGTACACATCTGAAATACAAGCACACAGGTACACATCTGAAATACAAGCACACAGGTACACGTCTGAAACACAAGCACACAGGTACACATCTGAAACACAAGCACACAGGTACACATCTGAAACACAAGCACACAGGTACACATCTGAAATACAAGCACACAGGTACACGTCTGAAACACAAGCACACAGGTACACGTCTGAAACACAAGCACACAGGTACACATCTGAAATACAAGCACACAGGTACACATCTGAAATACAAGCACACAGGTACACATCTGAAATACAAGCACACAGGTACACGTCTGAAACACAAGCACACAGGTACACATCTGAAACACAAGCACACAGGTACACATCTGAAACACAAGCACACAGGTACACATCTGAAATACAAGCACACAGGTACACGTCTGAAACACAAGCACACAGGTACACGTCTGAAACACAAGCACACAGGTACACGTCTGAAACACAACACACAGGCACACGTCTGAAACACAGGCACACAGGTACACGTCTGAAACACAGGCACACAGGTACACGTCTGAAACACAAGTACACGTCTGAAACACAGGTACACATCTGAAACACAGGTACACGTCTGAAACACAGGTACACATCTGAAACAGAGGTACACATCTAAAACACAGGTACACGTCTGAAACACAGGTACACGTCTGAAACACAGCACACAGGTTCACGTCTGAAACACAGGTACACGTCTGAAACACAGGTACACATCTGAAACACAGGTACACATCTGAAACACAGGTACACGTCTGAAACACAAGCACACAGGTTCACGTCTGACACAAAAGCACACAGGTACACATCTGAAACACAAGTACACAGGTACACGTCTGAAACACAAGTACACAGGTACAGTTCTGACACACAAGCACACAGATACACGTCTGAAACACAAGCACACAGGTACACGTCTGAAACACAAGTACACAGGTACACGTCTGAAACACAAGCACACAGGTACACGTCTGAAACACAAGCACACAGGTACACGTCTGACACACAAGTACACAGGTACACATCTGAAACACAAGTACACAGGTACACATCTGACACACAAGCACACAGGTACACATCTGAAACACAGGTACACGTCTGACACACAAGCACACAGGTACATGTCTGAAACACAAGCACACAGGTTCACGTCTGACACAAAAGCACACAGGTACACATCTGAAACACAAGTACACAGGTACACGTCTGAAACACAAGTACACAGGTACAGTTCTGACACACAAGCACACAGGTACACGTCTGAAACACAAGCACACAGGTACACGTCTGAAACACAAGTACACAGGTACACGTCTGAAACACAAGTACACAGATACACTTCTGACACACAAGCACACAGGTACACGTCTGAAACACAGGTACACGTCTGAAACACAAGCACACAGGTACACGTCTGAAACACAAGTACACAGGTACACGTCTGAAACACAAGCACACAGGTACACGTCTGAAACACAAGCACACAGGTACACGTCTGAAACACAAGCACACAGGTACACGTCTGAAACACAAGCACACAGGTACACAGGTACACATCTGAAACACAAGTACACAGGTACACGTCTGAAACACAGGTACACGTCTGACACACAAGCACACAGGTACACGTCTGAAACCCAAGCACACAGGTACACAGGTACACATCTGAAACACAAGCACACAGGTACACATCTGAAACACAGGTACACGTCTGACACACAAGCACACAGGTACACGTCTGAAACACAAGCACACAGGTTCACGTCTGACACAAAAGCACACAGGTACACATCTGAAACACAAGTACACAGGTACACGTCTGAAACACAAGTACACAGGTACAGTTCTGACACACAAGCACACAGGTACACGTCTGAAACACAAGCACACAGGTACACGTCTGAAACACAAGTACACAGGTACGCGTCTGAAACACAAGCACACAGGTACACGTCTGAAACACAAGCACACAGGTACACATCTGAAATACAAGCACACAGGTACACATCTGAAATACAAGCACACAGGTACACATCTGAAATACAAGCACACAGGTACACGTCTGAAACACAAGCACACAGGTACACATCTGAAACACAAGCACACAGGTACACATCTGAAACACAAGCACACAGGTACACATCTGAAATACAAGCACACAGGTACACGTCTGAAACACAAGCGAACAGGTACACGTCTGAAACACAAGCACACAGGTACACATCTGAAATACAAGCACACAGGTACACATCTGAAATACAAGCACACAGGTACACATCTGAAATACAAGCACTCAGGTACACGTCTGAAACACAAGCACACAGGTACACATCTGAAACACAAGCACACAGGTACACATCTGAAACACAAGCACACAGGTACACATCTGAAATACAAGCACACAGGTACACGTCTGAAACACAAGCACACAGGTACACGTCTGAAACACAAGCACACAGGTACACGTCTGAAACACAGCACACAGGCACACGTCTGAAACACAGGCACACAGGTACACGTCTGAAACACAGGCACACAGGTACACGTCTGAAACACAAGTACACGTCTGAAACACAGGTACACATCTGAAACACAGGTACACGTCTGAAACACAGGTACACATCTGAAACACAGGTACACATCTAAAACACAGGTACACGTCTGAAACACAGGTACACGTCTGAAACACAGCACACAGGTTCACGTCTGAAACACAGGTACACGTCTGAAACACAGGTACACATCTGAAACACAGGTACACATCTGAAACACAGGTACACATCTGAAACACAGGTACACGTCTGAAACACAAGCACACAGGTTCACGTCTGACACAAAAGCACACAGGTACACATCTGAAACACAAGTACACAGGTACAGTTCTGACACACAAGCACACAGGTACACGTCTGAAACACAAGCACACAGGTACACGTCTGAAACACAAGTACACAGGTACACGTCTGAAACACAAGCACACGGGTACACATCTGAAACACAAGCACACAGGTACACGTCTGACACACAAGTACACAGGTACACATCTGAAACACAAGTACACAGGTACACGTCTGACACACAAGCACACAGGTACACATCTGAAACACAGGTACACGTCTGACACACAAGCACACAGGTACATGTCTGAAACACAAGCACACAGGTTCACGTCTGACACAAAAGCACACAGGTACACATCTGAAACACAAGTACACAGGTACACGTCTGAAACACAAGTACACAGGTACAGTTCTGACACACAAGCACACAGGTACACGTCTGAAACACAAGCACACAGGTACACGTCTGAAACACAAGTACACAGGTACACGTCTGAAACACAAGTACACAGATACACTTCTGACACACAGGCACACAGGTACACGTCTGAAACACAGGTACACGTCTGAAACACAAGCACACAGGTACACGTCTGAAACACAAGTACACAGGTACACGTCTGAAACACAAGCACACAGGTACACGTCTGAAACACAAGCACACAGGTACATGTCTGAAACACAAGCACACAGGTACAGTTCTGACACACAAGCACACAGGTACACGTCTGAAACACAAGCACACAGGTACACGTCTGAAACACAAGTACACAGGTACACGTCTGAAACACAAGCACACGGGTACACGTCTGAAACACAAGCACACAGGTACACGTCTGACACACAAGTACACAGGTACACATCTGAAACACAAGTACACAGGTACACGTCTGACACACAAGCACACAGGTACACATCTGAAACACAGGTACACGTCTGACACACAAGCACACAGGTACATGTCTGAAACACAAGCACACAGGTACACGTCTGAAACACAAGCACACAGGTACATGTCTGAAACACAAGCACACAGGTACATGTCTGAAACACAAGCACACAGGTACACGTCTGACACACGGCTTTAGTCTTATGTCAAACACTGTAAAATTTTGGTAATTTATCATATCATATTTATAGCTTTTTGGCTGTTTTTTACAGTGCAGTGTTATACCCATAAAACTATCATAATGCACTAAGTAATCTAAGTAAGTAAGTAATCTTTATTTATATACCGCCTTTCACAGACCAGAGTCACAAAGCGGTTTACAATTGTTATTTTTTGGGCATTTGTCTCTCACTCCACAAAGATGGGAGCAGGGTCGCCGAACAGGAGGCGCATGCCAGACCTATTGTACATATTTTTAGTGGTAGGGGAAACCGGAGTACCCGGAGGAAACCTACGCAGACACGGGGAGAACATGCAAACTCCACTCAGAAAGGCCCTGGTCCGGCCGGGATTCGAACCCAGGACCTTCTTGCTGAGAGGCGAGAGTGCTATCCACTCAGCCACCGTGCCGCCTCACTAGCGCTCTAAGCTAATGCAGGGATTTGTAAGCATCTGAAATTATCCGTTGGGGAGCTACTTTGAAGAGGCTGGCGAGCTATGTGTAGCTCCCGAGCAGTAGCTTTAAAACCCTTGCTCTAATACCGGACACTGAGAATATTCATCTTTTCTCTATTTCCGTCTCTAATGGTCGGGTTGTTAGCTAAAGTTAGCGCTCGAGATCTCCTGCATATTTAAAACCATAACACTCAAACGTACCGCAGCTGTGTAAAGTTCTGTGGTCTGACGCAGCAGGTTTAGTTTAAGCTAGTCTCGTGCGTCCTTTGGCTTCTGTGCTATTTCTGCTCCGCGAGGTCAAGCATCCCCTGGTAAAGCCACATGGTGAGAACCATGTGGCGACTCACCCTGGAACAGGCTCCACAGGCTTTCTTTGGCTCTGGAGGTCGGCAGCACGTGAACTGCAGAGAAGAGAAGGAAACGGTTCAGTCCAAAGTCATCACAGCGTCAGAGAGACCAGAATAGTACACTCCCAGTCCAGTCTTCAGGTTTCATAGTTAGAATCACTTTTTATGACCCGCCAGACCAACGTGATTGACTGACTGAATGAAATAAGTGTCTCTGTCTCTTACGTAGAAAATAATAGGCATTACAAAAAAGTGAATATAAACAACAAACTATAAAAGCACTCAGACACACAAGAACAAGTGTTATTTATTTAGTATGGACATAACAATAACATTGGCCGAACCAGATGCATTGCTGTAAGTGTTGTAGCACAGGTGCTAATATTCAACACTAGTGGGGGCTTTTACACTACAGAAGATAAAATACATTTAAAAGAATTACAATAAAATGTACACGTGAGAACAACTCTGTCTGGATCTGAACCACTGTTTGAGCTCTCTGCTGAAGATGGTCCTGTCAGTCTGTTCCACAGTTTAACCCTAAAGGAGAAGCTGGATTCTCCAAACGATGTTCTGAGCTTTGGGAGCTCACAGACCCCACTGACGGCGCCTCTGGTGGAGGCTCTGGTGGAGCTCTGGTGGAGGCTCTGGTGGAGGCTCTGGTGGAGGCTCTGGTGGAGGCTCTGGTGGAGGCTCTGGTGGAGACTCTGGTGGAGGCTCTGGTGGAGGCTCTGGTGGAGGCTCTGGTGGAGGCTCTGGTGGAGACTAAGGTGCCTAAGGACACAACCACAGTTTGGCACTTTACAGCCGCAGCCGCCCCACTGTGGCACCTGCTGTTCCCAGAGGTCTCCCATCACAGTACTAACCAAGCTTCAGAGGTCTGATAGGATCTGGCTTTCACCTGCAGGTATGACCATGAGACCTGACTCATCCAAGAATAATTCCATGGTTTCAAACTCCTCTTCACAGACTCAGTATCATAGACTGAACACAGACTGATCAGACTGAACACAGACTGATCAGACTGAACACAGACTGATCAGACTGAACTCAGGCTGATCAGACTGAACACAGACTGATCAGACTGAACACAGACTGATCAGACTGAACACAGACTGATCAGACTGAACTCAGGCTGATCAGACTGAACACAGACTGATTAGACTGAACACAGACTGAACACAGACTGAACACAGACTGATCAGACTGAACACAGACTGAACACAGACTGATCAGACTGAACACAGACTGAACACAGACTGATCAGACTGAACACAGACTGATCAGACTGAACACAGACTGATCAGACTGAACTCAGACTGAACACAGACTGAACACAGACTGAACACAGACTGATCAGACTGAACACAGACTGATCAGACTGAACTCAGACTGAACACAGACTGAACACAGACTGAACACAGACTGATCAGACTGAACACAGACTAATGACAAATCCTGCTGCAAGATGTGGCTCAGAGAATAGACTTTAAATCAGCTCTGTTTGTTAAAAGTCTCTACATGGCCTCGCACCAAAGTATATCTGTGACATGTTAGTGCCATATGAACCAACTCTGGGACTGGCCTCCTGCTGGGACTCTGAGGAGCACAGGGACTGGCCTCCTGCTGGGACTCTGAGGAGCACAGGGACTGGACTCCTGCTGGGACTCTGAGGAGGACAGGGACTGGACTCCTGCTTTTCAGATTCATGCTGCTAAAATCTGAAACAATCTTCCTGAAGATGTGAGACAGGCCTCCTCAATGACAATGTTTAAAACCAGGTTAAAGACAGTTCTGTTTAGCTGTGCATACAACTGAGGGATTTTTTTATTTGTATCTTTCTTTTTAATGTTCTGTGATTATTTATAATTTTAATGCTATCTTGTCTTGTTCAGCACTTTGAGTTGTCTTGTGTATGAATTGTGCCATACAAATAAACTTGCATTTTCATTTCTTCACTACCACAATCTGAGCACCAGCAGCCGTCAAATCTACCCCAGAACCACCACCACCACCACCAGCAGCAGCAGCTGACAACAGGGCTGAAGCCTCCACAGACTGATGCCTGATGCTCCTCTGTCAGAATAACTTGTGATCCTGGTTTGAAAACTGCAGCCATCATTCATTTTCTCCATACATCAGCAGCATTCAAGACCAATGGACAGTGAAAGATCAAAAGCCAAACCATAACCAGAAAACACACACACACACCAGCCCTCCTTATATCTAAAATTAAGCTGTCGTTATTGTGGAGTGATCGTGATGCCAGTCCGAGACCAAAACAGTGCAAAGAGGAACTCAAAACTGCTCACGTTGCATTTTCCGGATTAAATACAACAAGTTTCTTCCATTACTGACAACACAATTCATGACAGCGATAGCTACAGTTTAAGAGGAAGCCAAACTTATACGTGCCCATATTTAGAACGGCTTGAAAATGCATGTGTGTCTCTGTGCGAGGAGCGACTCTGTGGAAAAACTTGACAGAAGAATTAAAAACATGTTGAAATCGGGTCAAAAGCAAGTGCACTATAAGATAAGATAAGATTTGTTTATGTATTGGTCACACAGCGGGGATATTTCAGTGTCATTGTTGCACATTACAGCCGAGAAAGAAGGAAATAAGAGCATTCAGATCGCACACATCAAAGGGAGAGAGAGAGAGAGAGAGAGAGAGAGAGACTGTTAAGGAGCATTTTGTGTGTTGTATATTGTGTGTACTCTCACTACTGTCCTGTAAGTGCACTGCAACACTGACATTTCCCCGCTGTGGGTCAGATAAGGGGTCTCTCCTCTTCTTCTTCTCTCTGTTGTCACACAGACAGTAGAGCGTCTCTCCCTCACTACACGCTCTGAGCCACTGCTGCCCACACAATGACATCCACTGTAACGACTGGGAGAGAGAAATGGACTTAAATACTGCAATTTAAGAAAGTCCTCTCTAACTGTAAATGTGGTCTCTGTCTGTCTCTGTCTCTCTGTCTCAGTCTCAGTCTCTGCCTATGTCTTTCTCTCTCTCTGTCTCTGTCTTGCTTAGTCTCAGTCTCTGCCTCTGTCTCTCTCTCTGTCTCTGTCTCAGTCTCTCTCTCTCTCTCTGCCTCTATCTCTGCCTCTGTCTCTCTTTCTGTCTCCGTCACAGCCTCAGTGTCTGTCTCAGCCTCAGTCTCTCTCTCTGCCTCAGTCTCTGTCTCAGTCTCAGTCTCTCTATCTGTCTCTCTCTGTGTCTCTGCCTCAGTCTCTGTCTCTCTCTCTGTCTCTCTCTGTGTCTCTGCCTCAGTCTCTGTCTCACTCTCTATCTCAGCCTCAGTCTCAGTGTCTCTCTTTCTGTCTCTCTCTCTGTCTCACTCTCTGTCTCAGTCTCTCTCTCTGTCTCACTCTCTATCTCAGCCTCAGTCTCAGTGTCTCTCTTTCTGTCTCTCTCTCTGTCTCACTCTCTGCCTCAGTCTCAGTGTCTCTCTTTCTGTCTCACTCTGAGCCTCACTCTCTGTCTCAGCCTCAGTCTCAGTCTCTGTCAGACGATACAGTCCGGGGCCGGGGTGAATGGCAGCAGCTGCATGTTGGAACCATTACTGCACACATGGCTCTTGTCTTTGCTGTTTCCCATGAAGAAGCTGCCTCCATCCAGCTTCTTTTCTGACAGAATCTTTTCAATAGCGGCATCAGATAACACTGGGAGCGTCCCACAGAGCGCCGTTTGTGCAGCGCGGCCACAGAGAGATGCTTTTACTGCCGTTTGTTTAAAGCCAAACCCAGACTCATCCGTGAGAACAAAACTCTTCTGTATTACACATTCTCAAGTCTCTGCTTTAATTCACTGTATCAAAAATGAACGACACACTGTTTTAGCCCTTCTCTCTCTTGTGCCAGTTCTACATTGACTCTTTTGTATTTCTTTATGACGCATTTGTTAAAAGAAGGAACCAGGGCTATTTATTCCACTTGTTAGAACTGAAAGAGGAAGTCACTTTGTCTGATTGTTTTGTACATACTGTATGTTATAGAAAAGAACAGTAGCATGATACTTATGTTAAGATTTCTTCAAATTTCTAACTTTAGCATAATAAAGAAGCTAGTATAAAATCTCTAGCTTTAGCATAATAAAGAAGCTAGTATAAAATCTCTAACTTTAGTATAATAAAGAAGCAGGCACAGAATACTCTATATCTCAAAAACACAAGTAAAGTGGACACATGTGGTTCTATATTGCACATTCTTGCATGAGTTCAAATGATATATTTATGCCCAAATATACATTTCTACTTAATTGACAGAAAAAGTGAAGTGACAAATTTATTCTGATATTATGTCATTATATTTGACTGTCCATCTGTGGCACTCCTGTAAGTTATTATTTCTAGACATAGGTTTTATTGGAAAAAGTTCTGAATAAGCAAAGGCACCAATCCAGAAATACTGGAAAGGCTGATCTGAGAAGTCCGCTTACAGAGTTCAAGATGGATTGTGTAAGAACCAAGAACCTAAACAGCCTGACAGCCCTCACGCATCAGAATCAGAATCAATCTATTGCCATTTGCAGAATATAAACTACATTACAAAGCACACACACACACACAGACAAACAGAATAAAAATAGTGAGACACAGTGAGGCACATATAAAAGTCTTAAATCATGATTAAAAAACTACGAAGGAGCTCAAAGAGAAGCAGATCTTAAGGCGCTCTGTCAAATTGTGCCGGAATTATTATTTAGTAGCTTCAAATCTTGGTGCGACAGTCGATCATCAATGTTAGTTATTTCAAAGATCAGACACAAAACCAAAACCGACACAGACGCAGAACAAGGGGTCGGTCGAGGCTTATTCTACCCCAACCCTCTCTCGTCCATTCCACCCAAGACAGTACAAGAGCAATGATTAGTTTTATTTTTCTCTGAGCACTTTACAAAGCTGTCGATTCACCAACACAGATCAGAAAATCAATGAATCCAAACACAGAAAATGCAATAATATAAACACACAGAGTCATTGGTCCAAAAGGAGCAGAAATCAGTGTCTTTAACATGTAAGAAAATGTCCATAAATGTCATTGGATGT